TCTTCCTCTTCCTCTTCCTCTTCCTCTTCCTCTTCTTCTTCTTCTTCTGCTTCTTCTGCTTCTTCTGCTTCTTCCTCCCCCTCCTCCCCTTCCCCTTCCCTTCCTCTTCCCCTTCCCCTCCTTTTTTTTTGCGGCAGTCCTCCTGCTTCAGCCTCCCAAGTACTGGGATGACAGGTGCATGCCACCATGCCTGGTATACTCTTCTCTCTTCCACTCCACTTCCCAGGAGAGGATTCTGGAAAGTGCAAGGCCATGGCACCAAGCAGAGGGCTTCCACTCCCTCACAGTGCTGCTCTAGGGTCCCCAGCGAGGGAGAACTTTGTCTCCCCTCTTCTGTGGGTAAAGTCCGTGACAAGGGCCAGACCAAAGCAGCTGTGATGGCTGATGCCCACTTGCTGAGGCCCCTGTCCCGAGGGGACTGTGACCGTGAACCCTGGCTCCTAGGCTGTGACTGAGCCCGCAGCATCACCTGTGTGGTGTGGGGCCCCCCTGCCATGCCTGCCCCAGAGTCCCATTTGCCCACACCCCCTTGGGGCCCTCCCTGATTCGACTCAGACCGATTGCCAGGGTTTCCACAGCCATTCCAGCTCTCACACCCTCCCCCCAGGGTGGGCCTGATGTGCTGTGTCCCCTCCAATTCCTTAGCACTTAGCCAAGCTCCTGTGGGTGAGGGAGGAGGCAGGAGGTCCGGCTCTGGGAAGAACCGCAGGCAGCCATGGCACTGGCCGAGCTGCTGCTGCTGCGGAGCTGAGGACGCGGCTCACCAGTTTGTACAGGACATTCCCTTCGTAGGTGTTGTCAGACTCATAGATGCTGGTCTTCAGCCCCAGGGAGTAGGGGTTGCTCACCATCACCTGGGGGAGCATGGGGAGACACCCATGTCACAGAGCCACCAGCCTGAGTCAGGACAAACACTCAAGGACGACACCCTGTGGACGGAAAACAGCTCGCTCCAAATGCAGCAGACCCCAGCCCGATTCCAAATGACCTCGCCTTACCCGCCAGGCCAGGCGTCCCAAGAAGACCTGGCCTGCAGGTGGTTGAGGGGTGTGAGGCCCAGGCCAGTCCTTCCTTCAGGAGGAGACGGTGTGCAGGGACACCTAGGGAAGAGCCAGAGGCAGCCTAGCCTGTTCCTTGCAGTGGGAGGGGTTAAAGATGTGGCGACTCAAGACACTGCATTGGCACACGGCTCATTTCAAGCTGCAGTTACCTGAGGAATCGGAATTTGAAAAAGAGCCATTTGGGCTGTCTTTTTGTACATCCAACAAAGCTATAAAGATGCATCTGGGCCGGGTGTGGTGGCACATGCCTGTCATCCCACCACTTGGGAGGCTGAGGCAGGAGGATCACTGTGAGTTCAAAGATAGCCTGGGCGAGCTTGAACTACATAGTGAGAACCTGTCTCAAACAAAACAAAACAGATTATTGGGATTGAACATGTGAGTCAGTGGTAGAACACTTGTCTAGAATACACGAGGTCCTCAGTTGACATCCAGCACAACAAAAATTTAAAAGATTTTTTTTCCACTACTAGGAATCGAACTCAGGACCTTGCACTTTCAAGGCAGGCATGGTGCCACTGAGCTAAATCCCCAGCCCTAAAAAGATTTTTTTCTGAAGCAGGTACAGTAGAGCACACACCCGTTATCACAGCTAATCAGGAGGCTGAGGCAGGAGGATCCTTTGAACCTGGGATTTTCAGGTCCACCTGGGCAACATACCAAGGTCCTACACTTTCCTTCCTTCCTTCCTTTTTTTCTTTTTTGGATTTTTGAGACAGGGTCTGGCTATTTAGGTCAGAGTGGCCTGGAACTCACTATGCAGTCCATGCTGGCCTCAAACTTTCAGTGATCTTCCTGCCTCAGCCTCAGTTTCAACCTCCCAAGTGCTGAGATTATAGGCATGTGCCACCATGCCAGCTCTGTCCGACCTCTTTCTAAAAAAAAAAAAAAAAAGCAAATTGCCACAGTGGATTCCTGTAACCCCAGCTACTCAGTAGGCTGAGCTAGGAGGACTGCAAGTTTAAGGCCAACTTTGGAAGACACTGTCTCAAAAAATAAAAATGGCTGGGGCTGTAGCTGTGGTAGAACACTTGCCTAGCATGCACAAGGCCCTGGATTCCACTGAAAGAAAATAATAAGGATGGAGAAGGAGGCCAGGCAGCTAAATGGATGGACAGCCACAGGGCTTAGCTGCAGAGAGAACTAGAAATGGTTTCTGCAGAGCAGCGAGAGTGAGCAGCTCGCCACAGATGGTGCCAGGGAGTCCAGAGCCTGGGGATGGGCTGAGACTGCCGGCCACCAGAGGCACCGAAGACTCACTTGCCTGGGGAATTAGGGATGCGTCTGGCCGGGGGATCAGGACAGCTGTCACTTCCAGCTGGCTGTTCATATCCATGGTGTACATTTTCCCTTCGAAGTTTCCATACATCAGTTCTATCTAGTTATGAAGACCAAACAGATCAATGAGAAATGAAGGAAATGCTCCCAAAAGGAAAGGACAAAGAGAAAGGCAGAAGAATTGAACAGGCATTTCTCAAAAGAAACAGCTACAAATGGCCAATAAGTGTAAGAAGCATACAGGAAATGATGTGAGAGTCCAAGGATGGAGACTTCCGGTCTTCCAGGGGCAACTTCCTGGACTTCCGCTCTTGCTCCTGTCGCCAGGCTGGACTGGGATCCCCCAGAAGCCTGTCCAGAGCCACCCCTCCCTGTCCTCTACAGTCACCAATTCCTTGTGTTTCTTTTTTCTTCTTTGTTTTTTTTTTTTTTTTGGAGGGGGGGTAGTGGGGATAGAAGCCAGGAGTGCCCTACCACTGAGCTATTTCCTCAGCTCATTTTATTTTTTTTATTTCAAGACAGGGTCTTGGTAAGTCATGAAGTTACCCAGGCTGGGTTCCAACTTGCGATTCTCCTGCCTCAGCCTCCCGAGGGCTGATAATAGAGCTGTGCACCACGGTACCCAGCACTGATCTGAACCCCCTCTCTGGCCTCAACCTCCCTCATTTTACAGCATTCTATAAACAAAATCATGAGCGGGGGTAGGGGGCCTCTGCACCTGGACCCTGGTGTGACCTGGGTCAGGAAGGTGCCTGATATCTTTGATACTAGCTTGAGATCAACTGGGTACATCCTGGCTTGCACGAAGTCGCTTTTGCCCTGACAGCTGCATAAAGCGCCTTGCCTTGATCCAAATCACAGGGACCCACTGGTCTTGCCATTGTCACTTCTATTAAGTTCAATAAATTGCTATGTGTGCAGCCAGGTGTGGTGGTGCACGCCTGTCATCCCAGCATCATGAGGCTGAGGCAGGATGATCACCTAGAGTTCAAGGCCAGCCTGGACTACATAGTGAGACCCTGTCTCCAAAAAAAAAAAAAAGGCTAGAGATACAGCTCAGTGATGAGTGCTTGCCTCTCATGTACAGGGCCCTGGGTTCCATCCCCAGATCTGAAAAAAAAAAAAAAAGACACTGGATATTGATCCACATATTCCAATCACATACTTTGCACTTTTCAACATGGAGGTCAGGATCCATGAGAGTTGCCTGAATGTTCACCACACACTTCTGGAAGTCGTACACAGGGGATGCAGCATCAGGAAGTGGGGTCAGGATCTGAAGCTTCCCTGGGTTCAGGAACATCAGGGCTGCCCCCTGGGACCACACTTGTTGGTCTGGAAACTGAGAGGAAGAGGAGTTCTGAGCCTAAATCATTCCAATTCTCTTTTGCTTTGTTTGTTTTTGTTTGAGACAGGGTCTTGGTCTGTAGTCCAGACTGGCCTTGAACTCACTGTGTAGCCCAGGCTGGCCTCAGTCTCGCAGCAATCCTCCTGCCTCAGCCTCCTGAGTGCTGGATGACAGGTGTGTGCCACCACACGAATTTTACAATTCTCTTTTGAAGATTTGAATTGTAGCCTATGATTCAGAGTTAAAGAAGATAGACAACCTCCCCAAGGAGTGAATGTGAGTTAGCAACTCTGTGGTTTCATTTATCCCTTGGAAATGCAATGAATAAGGGATACTCAGAGTTTCTTCATCAGGGAGATGATTTAAGTTTGACTGTTTATTAATTTAGTAGAGCTGGGGCTGGAACCCAGGGCTCTTGCATGCTAGGCAGGCGCTCACCACTGAGCCGCACCCCAGCCCTTGATTGTCTTACTCAGAGTGTGTGGACCTCTTTGGAGAGTCACAGAAAGGCTAAGAAATCTATCCCTGGAAAACAGTGGCCACTGCCATGTCACAGTGGTTCTCTTCTAGCCAGACATAGTGGAGGATGCCTATCTTCCTAGGGAGGCTGAGGCAGGAGGATTGCTTAGACTTCAAGGCCAGCCTGGGTTACATAGCAAGACCCCATCTCAAAAAACAAAATAAAACAAAACAAAAACATGTGGTACTCATGTTTGTGCCTCAGATTCAGTTAGGTTATTTTGTTCTGCTGTCAGTAACTTCAGGAAGTAAGGTGCTTCTCAAGGGGGTAGGAATCACATGTAAGTCGTGCTGAATAAACCTAGGGGATTCATGTTGCTCAGCCACTAATGACTTTCATGGCCTTGGCAAACAAACAAATGCAAGCTTCAAAAGATAAAAATAGAGGACATTAGCCAGGCACGGGGGTGGGGGTGGGGGGTGGATTACACATCCATAATTCCAGTATTCTGGGAGGCTGAGGTAGGAGGATCAAAAGTTCTAGCCCAGCCTGGGCAATTTAGCATCTCAGCAAGGCTCTGTCTCAAAATAAAAAATAAAAAAGGACTGGGAATATAAATCAGTGTGAAGGCCTTGAATTCAATCCCCATTACAGGTGAAAACAATAAGAAAAGGATGTTAATATCTCTCCAGGGTTCAGTGAAGATGGAAATAAAATTGAGCATAATGAATGATAACCCCAGCACCACCACCTGTGATCTCTATGGCCCTGGACAAATGACTTAGTTTCTCTATGCCTCAGTTTTCCCATCTGACAAATGGGCACAGTGTGAGAGTCTACTTAAAACAGTAGTTGAGGACATTACCTTAAGTGAAATACGTCAGGCACAGAAAGACAAATAAAGCATGTTCACAGTTATATGTGGAAGCTAAAGTTGATCCCCAAGAAGCAGAGAGGAGAAGGAGTAGTGAGCAGAGACTGGGAGGGGCACAGGAGATGGAAGATGGAGAGGGTCAGTGGTGAACAGGTACAGGGTGCAGCTGGACAGAGGACAAATAACTTCTTTTTCTTTTGAGACACCGGGGATTGAACCCAAGGCCTGTGGACTGAGCTACATTGCTAGTCCTTTTTTATTTTGCTGAGTCACTAAGTTGCCTAGGCTGGGCTTGAATTTGTGATTGTCCTGCCTCAGCTTCCCAGAGGGCTGGGATGACGGGTGTGTGTCACCATGCCCAGGAGGAGGAATGACTTCTAATGTCCAATATTTGCTTAGTAAGTATGAGGTCAAGAATGAGGTCCTGGTTCAATCTTTAGCACCCCAAAAATTAATCAATAAACAAGAATATTTTTTAAACATACACAAGAGGGCCAGGGATTTAGCTCAGTGGTGCCGCTGCCTGTCTCGCAAGTGCAAGGACCTGAGTTTGATCCTCGGTACCAAAAATAAAAACAATCCCCCCACCAAAAAAATACACAAGAGACACCAAGCATGTTGCTGCACATCTGTAATACCAGGATTTGGGAGACTGAGGCAGGAGAATCACTGAGAGTTCAAGGCCAGCATATACTATAAAGTGAGACTTTGTCTCCAAAAAAAAAAAAAAAAAAGAAAGAAGAAAGAAACATACGCTAGAGAAATATTACACAGCTGTAAAAAGTAACCAGCAAACTTTGTTCAATGACAGGGAGTGACTGCAAGATATATATATATACATATATATACACATTTTTTTATTTGGTACCAGAGATCGAACACGGGTCCTTGTGCTTGCCCAGCAGGCAGAGAAACCACTGAACTAAATCCCCGGCACTGCAAGATACATATATATTTCTTTTGGTACCAGGGATCGAACTCAGGTCCTTGAGCTTGTGAAGCAGGCGGTGGAACCACTGAGCTAAATCCCTGGCCCTCTGCAAGATATATTTTAAGTAGGGCTGGGAGTGTAGCTCAGTGGTGAGTGTTTGCCTAGCATGCATGGGGCCCTGGGTTCCATCCATGTACTTGGGGACTTAGACCCATACTTGCTGCTTCTCACATGCTCAAAAGTTTGAGCTGCCATTATCTTTATTATTATTTTAATAACTAAAGTGATGTCTAGCCTTCAGACAATAGGATAAGGTTTCAAAACCGTCTGTTTTTTCTTACTGATTGGGCAATAAGCACACTTTGACTTTCACCTACTTTGATTATGGAACTAGAACCAGACAGGACTCCCAGACTTCCGTAATACAAATGATCCTCTCGGGTCAACACCGCCAGGCCATTCTCATCTAGGGAAGACAAACAAAAGCGGAAATGGTCATTTTCATAGACCAAAATAAATCATTCTTAAAGGTTTCACACTAATGTTAGGGTGAAGGAGCAGAGGGGCTCACTGTCCAGGGGCTGTCTCTGTATTTTGAGTTTCTGCATCATGAATTGCAACCTAACTTGGCATATAAACAAACCACAACCTAATTAAAGAGTCTATATTTTTGTAATAGATAGCCAAGCCTCAGCCAATCACAAGGGGTAAAGCTTCAACCAATCACAAGCAGCTGAACTTCAACCAATCAGAAGCAGCCAACTGATCAGATTCTGTCCAAATTAGACAACTCCTAGGTATGTATAACCAATCAGCTTTTTCTGTGTTACTTCCCCAGTGAGGCTGTAAATGTACACTGTTTAGAACCAGGGAAGGTTGGTGTAGCTGCTGAGTGACTGCCCATGTAGCTGGGCAGAACAGCTACTCTCCCACAAGCCGCAATGGTGCCATAGCAAAAATAGGATTGGGAATTCTTTTGAGTAAGTCCCTAGAAGAGGAATTAATGGATTCTATGAGAGTTTAATGTTTAATTTTTTTTCTTTTTTTGAGACAGGGTCTCGCGATGCAGTTCAGGCTGGCCTTGAACTCATGGTGATCCTCCTGCCTCCGGTTCTCAAGTGCTGGGATTACGGGCATGCACCACCACACCTGGCCATGTTTAATTATTATTATTATTATTATTTTTTGGTATCGGGGATCAAACTTAGGACCTTGCGCTTTCGAGGCAGGCGCAGTGCCACTGAGCTAAATCCCCATCCCCATGTTAAATTTTTTGAGGAAATGCTAGATTGTTTTCCATAGTGGCTGAACAATTTTATTTTCACACCAGCAATACACAGAGTTCCAACTTCTCCACATGCTGGGAATCAGTTAGGATTTTCTTTTTGGATTATAGCCATTCTAATGGGTGCCAGGTGTTATCACATGGGTTTTTGGTTTTTTCCTGCCATGCTAAGGATGAAACTCAGGGTCTCACACATGATAGGCAAGTGCTCTGCCATAGAGCTCCATCCCCAGATCCTTGTAATTTTTAAGTTTTAAGGCAGGGTCTTGCTAAGTAGCCAGGCTGGCCTCAGACTTGCAATCCACCTACTTCAGCCTCCTAGGTAGTCAGGATGACTGGTGTGTGCCACCATGCCCAGCTCTTAGTAGGTGGTTTTTGTTTTTTGTTTTCTTTTTGTGGTACCAGAGATCAAACTCACGATCTTGCATTTGCAAAGCAGGCACTGAGCTAAATCCTTGGCACATCTTATTAGGTTTTGATTTGAATATCCTGACTCCTGTGTTCACTGTGGCATTTACAAAACCCGAGATATGGAAATAACCTAAATATCTATTGACGAATAGATGAGCAAAATGTGTCCACCCAGACAAGGGAATACTACTCTTTCCTCAAAAGAATAAAATCTTGCAATATACAACAAATGGGATGAGCCTTGAGGGTGTTGTATAGTAGGGCAAATACTGTATGATCTCACTTATGCATGGAATTTAAAATAGTTAAGGAAGCCAGGAGTAAATGGCATATGCCTGTAATCCCAGCACCTGGGAGACTGAGGCAAGAGGATCACTGTGAGGTCAAGACCAGCCTGGCCTACATAGAGTTCAAGATCAGCCTGAACTATATTGTGAATCTCTGTCCCAAAAAATAAGTTAATTAATATAGTCAAAGAAAAGCCAGATGTGGTAGTACACACTTCTAATTCTAGCTACTTGGGAGGCTGAGGTAGTAGGGCTACATTCCAAAGCCAGTCTGGGAAACAGCAAGATCTTGTCTCAAAATAAAAAATTAAATGGGTTAGGGATATAGCCCAGTGATAAAGTGCTTGCCTAGCACACAAAAGGCCCTGTACCACCCAGATAGATAGATAGATAGATACATAGAGTCATATAGAAAGTCAGGGGCTCAAGATGGGAGGGAAGATGGGAAGAGAATGATGTGTTTGAGTCCTTAGTTGAAAGATTAAATTAGGCTGGAAAGATACATATGAAATTTATTCCATTACAAATTTTGAGGCTCAATCTTTGAAGCTGGAGAGGAGTCTCAATTTGGGAACCTGGTCAGAGCAACTATACGTGAAATGTTAAAAAAAGAAAATTTTAGGCTGGGTGTGGTGGTGCATACCTGCTATGACAGCGTTTAGAGAGACTGAGGCTGAAGGGTCACAAGTTCAAGTCCCACCTGTGAAAGTAAGGCCCTGTCTCCAAACCAAAAAAAAATTTGTTTTAAAGGCTGGAGATGTAGCTCAGTGGTAGCACAGCCCTTGGTTCAGTCCCCCAGTACTGGAGGTGGGGAGGGGACATGAAAGAGCAGCAACTTGAAAAGATCACGTGTCACTGGTATAATCATAAATTAATTTTTATATAATTAATTTCTCTAACTAAATTAATTTTAAACTGATAAGTGGACATAGAGGGGAGGGATGTGATGCAATGATTAGCAAATAGGGGAAATACTGGCTTTTCAGAGTGAAGTCCTCCCACAAACTGTTGTGCTCTTTCCCTCAATGTTTCTGAGGCAGTAAATGTATTAGGAGGAAAATTACTCTAACAAATTTCATTGGCCAGGATGAACCAGTTCTCCCAAACACGTACGACAAAATGGCAATGGCACAGCAATTTACTAGCAAAGGAATCCCAAGGATGCCATGTGTTCAGAACTGAATGAACTGAATGAACTGTCTTGTCCAGAAAGATGCCAGAGTTTTGATGTCCAGTGAGCTCAGAATGTGACTTTACAGACAGTCCTCACTTATCATCTTTGGACTCGTGATCTCTGCCCTTTAAGATGGCATGCAAGCATTCCCACCCAATTGTTCTGATTTTCATTTTCAGTACAGTATTTAATAAACTACACATGACACTAGGACTCAGTCTGGCGCAGTGGCACACACTTATCATCCCAGCTCTCTGGAAGGCTGAGGCAGGAGGATTGCAAATTTGAACCCAGCCTGGGCAACTTACCGAGATCCTGTCTCAAAATAAAAAAGAGCTGAGAATGTAGCTCAGTATGAAGGCCTTGGGTTCAATCCCCAATGCTGCAATCAATCAATCAATCAATCAATCAATCAATCAATCAATAAACAGATAATGTTTCTGTCAACTCACAGGAACTCTGTGAGTTCCTGGGGCTGTTCAGAGCCCATTAATGCTCACCAAGCTGAACTAGAACATTCAACAAGTGAGGCTTAGTCAATGAACTTTCAAGTTAACAATATTTCAAACTTACAGTGTGTTCACTGGGATGTAAGATGTAACCCCATCGTAAGTCGGGGAGCATTTGAATTTGGAAACAGGGTCATTACCAAGGTAAGCAAATTAAAATAAGGTCATGAGGCTGGTCCTTGATCCAAGATGGGTGGGGGCATATGGATAGGGAGGATCTGAACACAGAGACAAACATGTAAGATGGAAGACAAGGTGAGGAGACACATAGAGAAGATGGCCATAGACAACTATAGCAACCCCAGGGGCCAACAGAGGCTGGGACAGATACCTGGAACACCTCCCCCCAGGGCCTTTAGAGGGAGCCAGATCCTGCTCACACCTTGGCTTCAGACTTTGGGCTTCCAGGACTGTAAAACAATAAATTTCTGTTGTCCCTTTTCTTTTTCTTTGCAGTACTAAGGACTGAACACAGGGCCTTTGCACTGAGCTACATCCCCAGCCATTTTTAATTTTTTAAAAAATCTTTGAGACAGGAAAAATAACCAACTTTGAGATAGAGTCTTGCTAGTTTGCCCACATAGGACTCCAACTCGTGATCCTCCCACCTCAGCCTCCCAGGATGCTATTACAGGCATACACTACCACACTTGATTTAAATTTCTGTTGTCCTAAGCCACCCAGTTTGTGGTCCTTTCTGTGACCATTGGGGTCTGGTTTGGTTTCAGGCTGGGCACGCACAGGCAGCAATGGTGTGGATGGTGATATTGGCGCCAAAGATAGAAGGGTGCAAAGTCTGGCCTCCTTTTTGAACCTGGATGGTTTCCACGATCTGACCTGGGAGACAATAGGGGAGTGACATGAGGACCTGTGCATATCCTCCAAAAGGAGATCCCAGCCAGGAGCGGTGAAGCACACCTCCCAGTGACTCAAGAGGCTGAGGCAGGAGGGCTACAAGTTTAAGCCCAATCTGGGTAACTTAGTAACTTGGTGAGACCCTGCCTCAAAATGAAAAAGGCCAAGGATGTAGCTCAGTGAAAAGGCCCAGTGCTCAATCCCCAGTACTACCACCGCTACGATATACACACACACAAAGATCCTGCAAGGTGAGAAGTGCAGAGGGCCAGGTGTGGTTGGCAAAGCGCAGTGGGCTCATGGTCCTCTCACATTTGTGGTGCATCTGTGCCCCAGAACCCCTGCTCCAGGCTGTTTCCCGCCCACCTGGGCCACAGGAGGGGGCTGTGCACCTGCATTGAGGGACAAGAAGAGGTTGTTTTGGCTCCAGAGGATCAGTAAGCCTCTCTGGCCTGGTGGTATGAGGACCTCGAGTGTCTCATTGTAGTCGAAGGCCAGCCCCAGACTCCGGTTGAGGGGGTGGTCAGAGTAGGCGAACATACCCTGCAAGGAGAAGGCAGCTGAGTCCCTGCAGCAGCAGTTACAGGGCAGCAGAGTGAAGTCAAAAGACTTGATCATTCACACACCCTTAAACTTTCCCCTTGAGCTGTGCAGGGCCCAGGACGCCCACAGAGAAGGCCTTGGCCCAGTGTGCCCAGTGCTGAAGGGGCCAGACCTTCTCTGCAGCCCACATTGTCTACCACTATGGTCTGAATGTGCTTTGGCCTCCGGAAGTTTCGGTGCTGGAGACCTGGGCTCCCTGCAATGCTATTTAGAGGTGGCAGAACTTCTAAGAGGTGGGGACTGGTGGGGAGTGTGATTCAGTTGCCCTTAGAAGGGATTAGTGCCCATCTCCATGGACTCCGTGGGGTCCCTCGGGGCTAGACTAGTGACCAAGAAAGCAGGTTGGGTGTCTCCCCTCTTGCCATGGGAGGCCACCCGCCATGGATGATGGAATGTTATGAGGCTTTGCTGGATGTGGCCATCAGAGTTTGGACTTCTCAGCCTCAAAAATCAGAATCTGAAATAAACCTGTCTGCTTTATAAAGTACTCATTCTGAGGTATTCTCTTATAGCAACACAAAATGAATGTAGACACCTCCATGCATCTGGATTGTTATTCAGGTTGATTTCCTTGAGTTGATCTCTCTCTGCGTGCGCACACACACACATGTATGCACACACATGAATTCTTTTCCTTAAAAACCCCTAGATGGTGGTTCTTGCATCAACTGCAAACCCCACTGTGTGGTGCCCAAAGTCTTCTCTCATCTGTTCATTATGGAGAACCCCAGGACAAAGCCTGAGTCCTTCCAACAACATTGTGTAAGGACAGAATCAAAATCGCATGGTCAGGCTGGGGATTTAGCTCAGTGGCACCATGACTGCTGGGCAAGCACAAGGTCCTGAGTTCAATTCCTGGTACCAGAAAAAAACCCACGGTCAGTGAGGCATGGTGGTGCATGCCTGTGCTCCCGGCGCTGGGGAGGCTGAGGCAGGAGGATGCTGTGAGTTCAACATTAGTCTGGGCTACATAATGAGTTCAAGCTCAGCCTGAACTACATAGTGAGATTCCGGCTCTAAAAACAGACTAATAATAAAAAAGAGAAGTGTTAAACAATGTTTGATATGAGGGATTTAAAATAATCTTGTGTACCATCCATGACACATGTACCAGATTTGTATTTAATCCCTGTACTCATCACAGTGCTTAGCAATCAGTAGACACTATATAAATATCAATGGATTCATAACTGAAGGACAGACAAACAGAGGTTGGGTGGAGTAGGAAGTTGGGAATGGATAGACAGATGAATGATTGAATGGATGGGTGGATGGATGAGTGCATGCATGTTTGACTGGGTGGATGGTTGAATAGATAATGGATGGATAGATAGTCAAGTGGGTGGATGGGTGGGTAGATGAGTAGACAGGTGGGTGAATGGGTGAATAGATGATTGGATGGTTGAGTGGATGGACAGTTAAATAGATAGATGGGTATATGGTTGATTGGATGGATAGATGGTTGAATGGATGGATGGATGAATAGATGGATAGATGCCTGATGGGCAAGGTGGATGGATGGGTGGGTGGGTAGGTGGATGAGTGGATGAATGGATGGTAGACTGTATGGATGAATGGACAGATGGATAGATGACTGATGGGTGGGTGGATAGTCAAATGGATGAATGGATAGATGGATAATAGATAAATTGATGGGTAGATGGGTGGATAGATGGTTGAATAAGTGGATGGTTGAGTGAATGAATGAACAGATGGATAGATAGATGGCCAGATGGATGGACAGATGGATGAATGGATAGATGGATAATAGATAAATTGATGGGTAGATGGGTGGATAGATGGTTGAATAAGTGGATGGTTGAGTGAATGAATGAACAGATGGATAGATAGATGGCCAGATGGATGGACAGATGGATGAATGGATAGATGGGTGGGGTGGATGGATAGATGGATGGGATGGACAGATGGGTAGATGGTTCAGTGGAGGTATGGATGGATAAATGATTGGATGGTTGGGAGGAGCAGATGGATGGGTTGAATGGAGAGATGGTTAGGTGGATGGATATATAAATAGATAGATGAATGAAAAGGTAGATGGATTTCACAAATGGAAAGCTAAATATGTGAGCTTTAACAAAATCCTCCCATTGGCCAAGAGTCATTAAGTATTTTCTCCCAGTGCACATTACTTACCTTCCTGTTATTAATGACAAGCAGCCCAACCTGTGACAAGGCGTGAAGGAAGAAGATTCCCCCTAAAGACCCAACCAATTCAGCCTATGAAATGAACACAAAATATTACCGTGAATAAATATTACAGGGCTGTGGGCATAGGTCAGTGATGGGTGTTTGCCTAGCACTTGGGAGACCCTAGATTCCATTCCCGGGACTGCAAAAACTTAAAACTAAATAAACAAAAATATTATAATAAGACATTATTATAATAAACAATACATTATATGTTTCATTCTAAGTTTAAGTCTAGATTATCTATCTAATGAACTGAAAGGAAAGAAAGTCTTATTAAAAATCTATTTCCTGTCTTTGGAAATATAGAAGCCTGCATGAAGACAGCTCTGCACCTGTAATCTCAGCACTCTAGGAGGCTGAGACAGGAGGATCACAAGTTCCCCCTAGGCAACTAAGCAAGAACCTGTCTCATAACAAAAATAAAAATAAAAATAAAAGAGGCAGGGGATGTAGTTCATTGTGAAGGCCCTGGGCTCAGCGCCCAGGTCCACGCACACAGAAAGCTCTGTTTTTAGGTGTTGGAGAAAGCAGTGTGAAAGCACTATTAGGCACTTCCCTAGATCTTTTGTGCCTCCCTGTATTCCACCTTACTGACTTCTGGATGGGTCTTCATCTCAGGGAGGGGACCAGCCTCTGCAGAATGAGGGAGGGTCTCACTCAGCTACATGTTTTTATTTTCACTTCCTTACCAATTGAACATACCTGTCTTTCATAGGTAAACTTTTGAAAACTGAATCCTCCATTATTTGAGAAATAGATATTGGCTTGAGATATCTGCTCTCCATGCAAATATGCAAAAACTGAGTTACTTATCTCCTGGGAAGAAAACACACATAAAACAATCTCTTTAAAAGAAGAGAGATGGGGCCAGGGATTTAGCTCAGCGGTGTCGCCACCTGCCTCACAAGCACAAGGTCCTGAGTTCAATCCCCAGTACCAAAAGAGAGAGAGAGAGAGAGAGAGAGAGAGAGAGAGAGAGA